TTTAGAAAGTGGTGTGATGATTTTTTTTTATTGTGTGCCCGATTTTCTATACATAATTGAGTGAAGAGAATAGAAAAGCTGCATTGTAATTTTGGCTCTGATAGAAGTAATAAAATCTTTTACAATATTGCCCCATACAGAAGTTAGTGTCCATGAACTTCCCTAGATAAGAGACAGTATATGGGAACTAAGACTGCATATTAAGCCTTTCTTTAACATACCTAAAACTAGAAACTATATATCCAAGACCCAGGGTAAATTTAAACACAGGAAAATTATTCATGTCCATGTGACTCAAGCGTACACATTCCTGGAGTATTGTGACTCAAGCAGGACACACAATGCTGTAGAAAAGAACTCTGGTCTCCAATGGTGTGTGTGTGTGTGTGTGTGTGTGTGTGTGTGTGTGTGTGTGTGTGTGTGTGTAGGAGAGGAGAGAGAGGGATTCTTACTAAGTAGTCCAGGCTGGTCTTGAACTGTGATTCTTCTGCCTCAGTCTCTTATGTTGATGGGGTTATAGGCATATACCACCATGCTCAGTTAGTCTGAAAATTTCAGTCTAAAACAGGTGATCTAGTCAGTCTTTCATTACTATAATTCAGAGGCTGTTTGCTTAAAAAAAAAAAAGAAATAATTTGTGGGGCGGTGATGGTGCACACCTTTAATTCCAGCACTCCAGAGGCAGAGGCAGGAGGATCTCTAAGTTAGAGGCCAGCCTGGTCTACAGAGTGAGTTCCAGGACAGCCAGGGCTACTAGCAAAACAAAACAAAACAAAGTTGCCTTAGTTATCGGTTTTGGAGGCTGAAAGGTCAAGGTGGTGCAGCCCTAGAGAGTTGGCACTGACCTCATGGAGATAGACGGTTATCCCCCCTCCACACACGCTCACCCACACTGACCTATCACAACCTTTCAGCAAGTCCCATCCCTTAATGTTCCCAGCACCCCAACATACTGTGCTGAGTGTCTAGCATAGCAACACACTGCATTGGAAGCTGTGCAGAAGCCATGCCAGGCATCCCATAATGTTCATGCCAGGCAAGTACGACATTCTGGTTCATGAATAAATATGCAATAATGTGCAGTTGCTTCCAAACACTTATGCTTATTATCAGTAGCCTCTACTGATATCTAAACACCATATCTAAAACACTTGTGTGAGAGAGAACACAGGCATAAAAGCATTGAGGTTTGAAATGTGTGTGTACATACATACAGTAAGAGTGGAACTTAAAACTAGAGTACAGACAAATATAGAACAGGTTTAAGATGTTCATGCACGTGCACACACACACACACACACACACACACACACACACACACACACACACACACCTCACTGTCGTAGGCCCCGTCTTCTTGGACTGAAGAAATTCAGGGTACTAAAAGAGCCCATTCCTTTAAATCCAGGACATGTACTTGGCCAGCTTCCTCTCTATTCCATCTTCCTCTTCTCCCCTTTGGAGAAACAGTCCCTACGACTAAGACGTTCAGATGCAATCTTAAGGAAGGATGGAGCTAGGGAGACACAGTGAAGGGCTAAGAAAAGCTGAAGTTTGGGTGAGACATGAAGCAACTGTTGGTTTCACTCTTCAGGTTGGTCTTTAGTTGCTAACCGTAGGCAGATTTCCCATCCCAGGACCACTTTCTCATGACCACAGAGTCTTACGTTAATTGTAAATGCTTGTTCAATAGCTCAGGCTTATTACTAACCATCTCTTACATTTTACGCTCTGCCGTGGGGCACATTCCTCTCCTGGGGACTCCTCTGACTCCGCCCTTCTTCACCCATCCTTCTCCGTTTGGCTTTCCTGCCTTTGTCCTGCTTAGCTTCTAGCCAGTCAGTTTGTTTATTAGACTAGTTCTAGTGACATATGCTCACAGTGTGCAGAAAGATTGTTCCATAGCATATAACAATAACTGGATGCTTCTAGACACTACTCCAGGGGATCTAGAGCTGGACATTATGATGACAGCTGAATATCACTGCAAATCTTGACAGACACACACTAAAATGTTAACACGTCTACCCGTTGAGTTGAATAAGAATCTAACCCAAAGCTAAGGAGGTAAGTAAACAATAAGGCAGAGATGCCAAATTTCAGGTGCCATCAGTCACTCATTGGGCCATCTGTTACACACAAGTGGAGAGACAGTACTTTTCAGCATAAGAATTTTCTAAGATTTTGCTGCAATCTGATTACCATAGTTAGCACAATACTAGAGTTTAATATGCAGCTTCCAGCATCAACCACAATAAAAATCCCAGGGCTTGCAAAGAAATGGAAAAAGTCTGTCCAAAGGCTGAAGATGATTTCTTTTTAGCTATAAGCCACTGCAAAATCACTTTTAGTCTTAGTAGCAATTTTAGATTTTTGAATTCTGAACCACGTGTTGAAGTTTTAGAATCTATTGAAGTTGGATTAAATGCATTTTGCAGTATGAAATGGCCACGAGCCTTTGGAAAACAGGGACAAGGGTTCTGGTTTGGTTCTTAAATGTCTTCGATGGGCTCGAGTTTTGAATGCTTGTTTTGCAGCAATTTGAGAGGCTGTGCAATTTCAGAAAGTGCATCTTGGCTGGCAGAAGTAGGCAACTAGGGATGGTTCTGCGAACCGTTAACATCAATGTCCAAGGTCTCCTTATCCATTATTTGCTTCTTGGTCTACTGAGGTGATGAGCCACTGCCTCATACGCTTACAGTGTCTTTTACAGCAGGTGCTGTCTTAGGAATATAGAAATGCGTATGATGTATTGTCTGTTTTTTATTCACGTTTACCGTAGCTTGCAGATGTCTGAGAGAAATGCAATGCTATAAGCTGATTCTCTAATACACCTCGCTCTAAGGTCTAAACGTATGCTATGATAGTACCGAATAGCTCTGAACCAGATTGTCAAATCCTAGAGCTGGGTCTGTGAAGGTGGGTAGATGTGTGCAGGAGATCAGCTGCCCACGATACAAGTAATTGGCTGGATCCATATTAACCATTTAATGAAGTTATTTACAAACATGTGTCAATAGTAAAAGGCTTAACCATCAAGTAACAAATCTCAGACACGTGGCTGCTCATTGACAGTGACGCTATGACCTCGTGTAACAGAGACTGACCATTCTGGCTCCATCTTTGAGTTTGTATCATGATGGACACAGCAGTGGAATGTCACAGAAGAAACCACATTGTGCAGAGGAAGCCGCAACGCAGTCTCTGCCTCTGAGTCCCTCCCAGGAGTAGGGGATTCTACAGCAGCTGGAAATTTGACTCTTCCCTTTTGTTAAGTGGGCCAACTGAGTTCTAAAAGGGACCACAGTGTTCACTTCTGAATCCATACCCCAATAACAAGGACGAGGCAGTTGCCCACTGCACCGCTCACCTCCCTGGCCAGCATACACAGATGTAATGTGTGTTCTCTGCCGTCCAAGTGCAGGGAGATCATCTGGAAGCAGCAAAGCAGGCTTTGGCAGCTCACTCTATCTGAACAGTCTCCCTTCGAGGAACTTTATGGTCAGGGGGATCTTTCCTGACCCTCTCTGCTGCTGTGGCTGCCTCCGTCTGCTCTCCCCAGATACCCCACTAAGTTCTCAGTTCATAAAAGTGTAACATCCCCCAGTTCTTCACAGCTTTTCTTCAAGAGCAATTCTGTCTCCCACGTAAGATATCGTTATTCTCTTGTGCTCAAACAGCAATATCTTACTTGCTTTGTATCTAAAGGGATGGCTTTATATACAGAGATGAATAGACATTTCTCCGTACAAGGACTATATTTGACATAGAGCAGATAAAAATGCCAATACTCATTTTCTGGTCTCTGACCATCTAAATTCCCAGTTCTCTAACACAGCCAGAGTTCAGAGCAGCGGCATCAATCCATTCAATAAAATGCTTCTTAGAAAACTTGGGGTCTCTGACCTACTTCACTTGCTTGGGGTGTAGAACATGAATCAAGAAGGAATTGCATAGAGATTTAGAGATTTAATTTACTGGTGTCCTTTTGGTTTTTTTGTTTGTTTGTTTGTTTTTTCACTGTTTAGAATGTAGATGTCAAACATAATATCCCCCCTCCCCTGCCGCACAATTTACTTGCATCATCTTAAATGGCACTTTTAAATATAAAAAATGAGTTTGCAAACCAGCCATGATGAAGCATGTCTGTACTCCTAGCCTTTGGGAGGCTGAGGCAGGAGGATTGCTAAGTTGAGGTCAGCCTGGTCTACATAGGGAGATCCCGTCTCAGAAAGAGAGAGACGAAGACATTGACAGGCAGGCAGAGAGAGGGGGGAGGGAGGCAGAAGAGGGAGGGGAGATAGGAGCGGGGAGAGAGAGAGTTAGTTTATGAAACCTGAGTTTTCTAGGCACTGATGCCACCATGTCCTTCAATTTTAAGACTTAAATCACAAAGCTCTACTCAGTAATAATTGTCACCTTCTTTCTGGTCCTCACATGTCCTTGATTGACAACAATGATATTGTTAATAATACCCTAGACCTCACTCTAAGCAACTGGAGGCAGTTTTAAGTTACATTAACAGTATCAATGCATCAACCCTGCAAGCAAGGGAAGGGACGATGCTCTCCTAATGAAGGAGCGGTTGGGGCACCATGACTTGCACAAACATAAAACAGCTGAGGCAGACCTATGGAGGATGTCCTTGTTTGGGGTGGGAAAACATGAGTCAGTGTGTTCGTCAGACACTTGTCGGGTCTTCCCTGAGGGTAAGTCAGAGTTTAGCGTTCAAAGCCTGGTCTCCATTGACAGTTGTCTGCATCCGGCAAGTTAAGATTAATTGGGTGACTTTTGAGTGTAAACCCCTTTGCTAGAAGATAAAAGAGGTTCGCTGCATTGAGTTTTGCAGGTTGTGTTTCTTCTGTCTTTTAACGTGGGGGTAAACACAGTGAGTCAAATGCTGGTGCCCGGAATCTCAGACTCCAGGCAGCCCATTGGTCACTGGAGGGTTACCACGTGATGAAGATGTCTTTCAAATAAGCTGCTGGAGGCCAGGGTTGCCCTCACTTCCCTGGCTTCTGGTTGTGAGTGCCTCATCTTCCCAGAAATCTTTCCACCATGATCGAACCCTTCTTAGGAGCCTGGAAACTGGTCTCCAGTGAAAACTTCGAGGATTATATGAAGGAACTGGGTGAGAGACACCATTACGGGACTCGGGAATTTGTGGCAAGAGATTTTGGTGTTGGGGCTGGCTTTGTTCCTCACAGTGACATTTTTTCTGTGATTTTCTTCCTTTGTGTCTCTATGTTATACCCATATGAGGCAACATTTATAATTCCATTTATTATTGACATTTATTTTTTACATCAAATATTAACTGGCATTTTAAAATTCTAACTAGGCTTGCAACTCTCTCGGTTTATAGTCCAAGTGTTCCAGCCCAGGCCCCCCTCCCCTGGTTTGAAATATCATGCAGATCTCCCGATAGAATTTTCTCTTTAGCTGACATTTCATTGAGAAGCTTTGGTTCAACTCCAAATTGCTGTAGAATGAGTGGGTAGATTGATGTCTGGGTTTACTTTAGTTATAAACTTAGAAGCACTGTAGCAACTGATAGCATTCAGAGCCTGTTTTTCTGGAGTGCTCACACATGGGTGAGTGCTAGTCAGTGCATGATTTTGAAGGTTTTGTTTTTGAGATGACAAATAGAATGTTTTTTCTTTCCTGATTGGCTATCTTGTTGACCGTCTCTCGGAAATATGGGTCCTGCCTGACTTTTGTCTCTACTTCAAGCTCCGTAGTCAAGCATCAGTAATAATGAATTGTGTCTGTCACAGCTACACCTTTCTATGAATTCTTGAAGAACATTTTTCACGATTGATAGCCACCTGTTTTATAAATAAGCCATATGCAAAGCAGAAGATTTCTTCACTTTTTACATTTTGCCTAGAATGGCCAGTGGATACTTGCCATTATTACTTACACATTTACTCTTTCTAAGCACTGAAACAAAAATGCTTTATCCCTCAATAAGTTAACATGCTTATAAATATAATACTTGTTCCTCTCCCATAGACAGTATTAACTTCTCGGAAGTAATAAGAATATTTCCCTATTTGTTTATGGATTTATAGACACATTTCTTTTGAATAAAAATTTAAAGGCATATAAGAAACTTGGAAATGGATATGGCAGTGGTTACTTACAATCCTAGTTATCACAAGCTGATGGCAGGAAGACAGAGAGTTCAAGGCCAGCCTGGCTACACAGAAGACCTATGGAAAAAATATGTTATATATGTAATATTATATGTAATATAGTATGGGTTACAGATAATATCATATACCATCTACCTATATTTGTCTATCCATATTTCTGTACCTATATATGCCTCTATTTATACATAAATATAGATATAAAATAGAGAGCTATGGAAAAGGAATAGCTGGGAACTTGGGTTTATAGCCAGAACAGCACTTGTGTTGACTCGGAGCCAGGTTAAGTCTGGAACACGGAGGAGCAGCAACTGAGGCCTTAGTGTTCCTCTCATCTACTCTTCCATACAAGTGTGAGGACTTGTACATTTTACTAAGGGGACAGCAGACAGGGAGAAAAGCTGTGAAGGATGGAGGTGGGAGCCCAGGATTTGAACATCTCACTCTTTCTCACAATCCACACATCTCTTTTCCCACACCCATCAATGGTCTGAATGGGCAGTAGACTCCAATATGTATTCACAGGCAGGAGTCAGTTTCTGTCTCCCTCCTGTAAAAGCCACATTGGACCGTTTAATGTCCCCAGTCTGAGCAGCAGGGCCAGGCTTTGAGCCAACCGTTTCCTGCACTGTCTTTGCAAGTTTCCACGTGGTTAATTAAATGCAAGCATTCGATCCCCTAAAAGCCATCCTGCAGGCACGCATTTCCCACCAAGCACAGAAGTTTGAGCTTTACAAGATGTCAGAATTACTTCCAGCACCTTGTAAGGACTTGACGTAATCTAGAGAGTACTGAGGACATCAAATGGGAGACTGTGGCTGGGAATGGTGACAGACACCCGCGAGTCCCGTCAGAGGTGCATACAGGAGGATCCTGAGCTGAAGGCCAGCCTGGGTTCCACAGTGAGACTCTGCCTCAAAAGAAGAAAGGTCAAGATTTAGTCAAGATTTCAGTGGGAGAGGATGGTAGTCCACACATCTTCCTGGATATGTGGATGAGGTATGGATCTTTCTTTGTCTCTCAGGAGTGGATTTCGCAGTACGGGATGTGGCAGGTTCAGTAAAGCCAAGTGTTAACATTAGTCTCAGTGGGGAGAAGGTGAACATCCAGACCGAAAGTTCTTTCAGAAACACAGTGATCTCCTTCAAGCTAGGGGAAGAATTTGAGGAGACCACTGCAGACAACCGGCAAGTGAAGGTAAGCTGGAGTTAAATCTCGCTACATCCAACCATTGTGGAACACTGGTGGTTGGGTAGGGTTCATTCAACAGAGTTTGACTTCTTACTAGGACTGGCTGGGCTTGTTTAAATCTGTGCATAGAAGAAGTCAATCCTTTGCTAATTATTCAGACAGCCTAATGGAATAAAAGGTTCACGTTCATCCTTTGGTGCTGCGGTTTGAGACAAGGTCTTGCTATATAGCCTAGGCCGGCCTACAACTTAGGCTTCTCCTGCTTTTGGCCCTTGAATGCTGGGGTTACAGATGTGACCCATCTTGTCTGGCAATCTGCACTCACTCCTCCACTTCTCCTGACTTGTTTGTTATTCTATGAAAGGTCATATAGAATAGAAATAGTTATTAAGGTCAAAAGGTCAAATAGTTTATGGATTCTCATCTGCGAGAACATGAACTTAGTTGTCTTCTTGGGGCTTCTAAATTGACAGCATTACGTCATAACAGGAATAAGGCAAGCATTATGAAGAACAGACTTTCAGACCTGAAGTTCAATGTAGACATCTAGTGCTGCAATAGATAGAAAGCGGTGAGTGACTCCTTCTAATCACTTTCTCTGCATTTATAGAGCACCGTAACATTAGAAGGCGGGTCAATGATCCAGGTCCAAAAATGGCTCGGCAAAGAGACAACAATCAAAAGAAAAATTGTTGAGGGAAAAATGGTAGTGGTGAGTGTTCCCTAGGTTTATATTTTAACATGCTGTTTTGGGTGTATATCACCAAGTTTACTCAAGTGCCTTTGTAGCCTGAATTGAGGGCTTGGTCTACGGAAAGAGGGAAGGATGGGCTTGACCTGTCAACAATCCCCGCTTCTAACACATCTCTCTACTTTTAGGAGTGCATCATGAACAATATTGTCAGCACTAGGATCTACGAAAAGGCATGAAGGAAGAAGGGTAGATGCCAGCGAGAATGTGGCCACTGCAGAAAGCTTGCTGCAGTGATTTAAAACATTTTCAGCATAGATTTTGCTCAATAAAAGCACTAATTGAAATGCAGCTTTCCAGCTGTTTGATAATGAAGGTTATGGATGTTGCGAGTTTCTTTTCTGTTGCTGGGTAGAACACTCTGACAGAAAGCCACTTAGAGCAGGAAGGGTTGACATTAGCTCACAGTTCAAGAGGGGTTACTGTCCTTTCCTCAGGAGGAAAGGCATGGTATTGGAAGTGTGAAGCCAGCAGGGTAGTCAAGAAGCAGAGAAATCATGGTTCACCCCTACGTAGGGAGGGCGGGGCCAGGGCAGGAAATGGAGCTAGACTATAAACCTCCAAACCTGCCTGTAGTGTTGTACTTCCGCCAGAAAGGCTCCCTCCCACAGCCTCCATAACTTTCCCAGATTGTATCCCTATCTGGAAACCAAGTGTTCAGACACGTGCCTCTATGGGAGATGTTTCAGACTCAAACCACTACAGGAATAATCTGCAGAATGAATAAGACAGCAAGACGTTCCTGTTAACGTGGCAAGATCTAAAATCACCCAGGAGAGAAATCTCGGGGTTCTTGGTGAGGGGATTTCTAGATTAGTTAAGCTGAGGTGGGAAGACCCACCCTAAGTGTGGAGACCCCGTTCTATGGCCGGGGTCCTGGACTGTACAAAAGGGAGCAAGCAAGCTGAGCCCCTGTCTCCATGACTTCCCACCATAACAAACTGTAAGCAGGAATGAAAACAAGAAAGCAAGAAAAGAAAAGGGAAAAGCACTTGCTTCTCTTGTCAACAGCTCAGGTTCAGTTCCCAGCAGCACACCAAGTGGCTCACAAATGACTCTGATGACGTGCAAGGAGAGGTCCTTTGTCCTGGCTGGTGGCCCGGCACACACAGACACTATATTAGTTATGAAACTGTTGGGTGATGACTACGGCTCTTATTGGCTAGCTCTGTCTTAATTATTAACTCATAACTACTAATCTATGTATTTCTACATGGCCTTATTTTACCAGAGAATGCCCCAGGCACGTCCTACCCTCCCGGGCTCCACATCATGACTCTTTTTGCCCACCTTTCCTAGAATTCTCCTCATCTCTTAGCTCTGCCTATACTTCCTGCCCTGCAAATCAGCCAATCAGTGTTTTATTCATTAACCAATAAGAGACATATATGCACAGAAGGACATTCCCCAGCAATGACACTGTTTTGGCCTCTACAGACAAGTACACACATGTGATATACATAAATATACTAAATACACATAGGTATGCATATGTGTGCATAATTAGTAAATAAATCTTTGTCTCCTTGCACAGGGTACAGAAAAAAATAACAATTTTCACTCTAGTGAGTGATATAAAAGTTATTATTTAGTTACTTGCCAAGAGAATTTGAAATAGGAATGAGACCAAACTTTATATAACCTCCAGAAGAAAATGTTTTATTTTGAAATTTCTTTTTTACCCAGAATAACAGTAGTAAACCATTACATGTGAGGGGGCTGGCTGAATAAAAAAAAGCTTCTCTGACCCGATCTCAAGTATTTATCCTTGAAGGTCGTGTGCAAGTTACACCTTAGCAGCCTCGAGAGCACCTCAGTTTCTGAAAACAAAATTCTAAGATGTGATTAAGGAAGTAAAGGAGCACATGTCTGGGTGGTGAAATAACAATGCACACGGACACGGACATGGACACACTTTCCAGTATGTTTCGCGAGGGAATTGCTTTAAAGAGATTCCTTTCTTCTATCAGCACCGTGGAAGGGCTACATCCTAAAAAATGTCTTCTTCAGCACTTCGAATTGATACCAGAAAGGTCAACCTTCTTGAATGTATTTGGAAAATGTTCACACCACTTTCTCTCCAAGAGCTAAGACAAAGGAGGCAGGCACAGCTGGGGAGTTCAGCAGATGCTGGAATGTAGAATGCAGAATGTAGAATATAGAATGTAGAATGATGTATAATGTAGAATGATGTAAAATGTAGAATGTAGAATGATGTAGAATGTAGAATGATGTAGGATGTAGAATGTAGAATAATGTAGAATATAGAATGATGTAGAATGTAGAATGATGTAAAATGTAGAATGTAGAATGATGTAGAATGTAGAATGTTGTAGAATGTAGAATGTAGAATAATGTAGAATGTAGAAGCCCTCTCTTCCATCCATCCCCAGAGAGCACCTTCAGTTCTCAGCTCTGCTGTTAGAAATAGTGAGGTGAAATCTTACACTTGCCTTTGGAGAAGACCCAGAGCTCATTACTTCTGGAAAAGAACAAAGCTAATTGTGTTATTTGGAGGGTCCATAGCTCCTTCTTCCCTGTTTTTATTACCATCCCACTAAGGAAAAGTTACGCATACCCAAAACTGTCCTCTGAGCTCAACAAATGCTCCCTAGCCCACACACCCTCTCATCCCCACACAGGAACACACACACATGCACGCACATCCTCAAAGATTTAAAAAATGAAACGTTACCAAGCACCTTCCAGTGTGGCCACAGACATCTGTCTTTACAGCGGCATTCCCGTGGCCCTCATCTGCTAACTGCCTTGCACAGTAGTTGCCTTTCACGTGTCCCCGAATGTTTAATAGCTGTCTTCTTAATGACAGTGTAAACTCACAAGAGCAGGAGACAGTGACATATCACACCTCCAACAAGGCTTTGCATTTAGCAGCAGTCCCTTAAATATAAATGCAATATCATGGTTGTGAGACATGACATCCAGTGAAAAATCACGAATACTTCTTTCTGTTTATTTGTTACACAATGTTTATTCTATTTCTTTCCCAAAGTGAGTGGCGGTGATGCAGCTAGAAAACAATAGGTAAGAGATATTTCCATGGCATGTTTTATGGGTATGCCTTTCTCATCCATTTTCCTTGGGTCTTTTGGTGTAGTTTTCAGTGTATGATTCAAAAAACCTTAATGTATATGAGCAATTAACATGGTTAATCAATTGACGAGAGGAAAAGAATTAAGTCAATGGCAACAGCATAGCATTATCTATGCCAGTAAAATTAATTTAAGTTGGAATATATACATCCAGGTACATGTGTGTTCTGGTGTCTGTTCTTCACCCTCTCTGCAGAGCATTTCTTAATGAGTCTCCTGATGCCTTAAGCTTTCTCTTGTTGATTTGATCTGTAACTTTGGCCCATACATTGGCTTCAGAATCTCATCATGACCCAAGCTCGTCTGGTCAGCTTGGACAGTTAGAAACAATTGATGATTTGCCTTAACGAGATTATTGTCTCAGAATAAAATTGCATCACTGTTTTAAGCATTCTACCATGGCAGAACGTAACGACTTACCGTGAATCTTGAAGTCCCTCACTATTCTTAAGCTTAACTCGAAGCACTGAAATCCACAGATCTCTGTGGAATACAGGGCTTACTTCTGGAAAGGTGGTGTGCAGAAAAACTACACATCGACTATGGTACTTCTTAATAGAATAATGACAACAAAAGCTTGTGGCGTTATGAGTGATACCACCATCTTCACAAAGTTTTGGGAAGATAAAAACAGCATATTCACTATAGGATTGCCCCTTACCGTTGTTTAAGACAGAGTCTCACTGTGTACCCTAATGGCTTTGAATTTGAGGTCTTCCTGCCTTGGCTTTATACAACGCCCATTTTAACCCCTGATTGTTTCTATCCCAATTCAACAAACGTCCTCCACTTTGGGTTTGGGAGTGGGTTGGCTAAGGAGCTATACTGTCCACTGTTGGATCCCATATCTGACGCTGGCAGTGGAAGATGAGATCTGGTTCACCATTCATGGTATCTCATGTCTCGGTCAGCTTGATGCCAAACCACATGACTGCGATCGAGATGGTCCAGCTGTAGTACTGGGGACCACAGCCTTTGAAGCGAAGGTCTCTGTTCACTGGAAGTGCAATGGCTGTGGGGTAGTTAGTTCCATAGCTGTGAGCACTGCTGACCTGTGAGCTGAAAATGTAAGATCTGGTGATAATAGTTGCTACTCAGCCAGAATTAATGCGAGTATAGAAAACCTGGTAAGAAGGCATGGCAGCCATCCAGTCATTTCTGGGAGCAAGACTTATGTATGAACTAGACTGACCTTTGCTTCCCCTGATCAGAGAGTGGGATTCTGATATGTGACCTGGTTCACTCGATTGTCACTTCTGATGTTGAGAAGAGAGTACCACTAAAAAGTCATGGTGATATTAGGATCTCCGAGTGTCAGTCAGGGTCTGTGTGTGTGTGTGTGTTTGTGTGTGTGTGTGCACATGTGCACACGCGCACGTGCGCGCGTGCATGTCTTACAAGGTTGAGAGGATGCCATGAGGCAATCTCAACTAAGCACATCACAAGGGGACTGTCCTATTCTGAGCTCTGAGCACCCATTAGTACTATTTTGTGGGAAATTGTCTCTTCATAAATCACTGGATTTTTATTAAGTGTCTTAATTCAAAGTTGTCACAGAAACTAAGAACTGATTATCTCCAGGTTTGCATTATAAAGAGATGAAATCTTAACCATGATTAAAAAGTATGCCACGGTGCTGCTTCCCGTCCTGACATATGAATGCGTCTTCTGTACTCTGCTGTGGCAGATCGACCTTCTTGTCTGCCTACTCAGCCTGCCCAGAATGTGAGAACTATGTCAACCCTCCCTCACCTCCGAATGTGTCCTCACACTGTGGCCTTCCATTTCTCTCCCACAGTATATTTGAGACACTGACTATAATGCTCGCATTACATTACTAATAAGGAAGAGAAAATAATCATTTCAGCAGGTTGCAAATTTAAGAAAGGTTTCTTAATCCAGAAAGGAGGACGTGGGAAAAACCTAGTGTCTGAACCCATTCCAGGTATTGTAGCAAAAAGCCCTATGTCCAATGTCACAATAACAATAGAATCCCAGCCCTCCATGTTCTGAGGCTGGGCGGTTCGGGGTTTACTTCCAAATTGACAGATGTGTGATTTTCTTCCTCACATGGTGAGAATGGAGGATCACTTC